AAAATAAAGTCTGGAGCTTTCCAGAAAACAAAAAAGCCATTCTTATTGACAAGGCTACAATAGATGTGCACAGTGATAGCAGGGAGAGATTCATCTCAGGTGTCCAGCATCAAGCTCGTGACTTCATGACCATCCATCGCCTGCATGAGCATACTCCCATAAGAATAGTCTTGGGTTGCAGGTGCAGCTCAATGAGAATGAGCCTAGCATGTGCTAGCTCTGGGTCCCATTCCCACATGGAAAAACTGTCTTTTTAAAAAGATCATATAATAAAAACACGCCCCCAAAAATCTTCATCCCCAAAAGCCAACCACTAATATATGTGCTTTCATTAAAATGAGATACAAATACATTAAAATAATGGGTTTGAATCAGTGAGATTATGCATACCTGTTTTTCATCTTACCCAGTGAAAATAAAATTATGGACCTGAGAGGCTCTCTTGCAATTCTCCCATTTAATGAAACATCTCAATCATCCTAATTTTTACATTATTTTGTCACAACAAAATTAAACAATCTCTTCAGAAAAGACCCACTGAGGTGTTCTGATGCCCATCAATGAAATTTTATGTTCTTTCTCCAACATCCTCAAAACCATCCTTTTGTTTCCCAGGCTTTGGTTCAGTTTGTTCTCAAGCCCTGAATGATAGCTTGAATGATAGGAAACATCGTGCATCTGTTGTCAGCTTCTAACTGGAAACCTGTAAGCTCTGCATGATTTCTTCTAGAGAAATAAAAGCATCTGTCACGGCATGTAGGGACACGTGACCAGACACACACGCACTGGAGAGCCCTGCAAAGATACCTACCAAAACGTCACCCTTGGTACACTCAACTACAACCTGACAGGTGAAGCTCTTTTTCATTGTCTTCTTTTTGGATTTTTCTTCACTCTGGTTAGTGTGATATTTGGAATTCAAAAACTCAGCAGGGCTTTGTGACCAGTAACAGCCATCGGAGTGCCAAACACAGGTGCTGAGAAACTGACACTGTGAGCTTAAGGAGATGGCCACAGAGTCCTAGCCACTTCACCCACCGTTGGGAGAGGACTGGGGGTCCGCAGGCATTAAACACAATATTCCAGTCAAGGCAGGGGCACAAAGCTACAGTTCTCTCCACACAAGGGGCACTCCAAAGAAACCCTTGAGTTTGAGACCAGCCCGGCAACACAGCAAGACCCCCATCTCAAAAAAATAATAAATAAATATTGTGTCAGGTCCTAACAGGGAACCTGACAACAGCATTTGGGTATCTTATCTATTCTTATTTCTGTTCTAGTGCAGATATTCAATGTTATGTTACCATCTTACAGGTATTGAAAGTAATTTAAAAGTGGCTTCATACTGAAGGCATCAATTCATCTGAATAGGTCATACTGATTTTCAAATCCAGAGGGACTCTTAAATTCTAGTTATGCAATAATATTCTCCCAATTCTCCAGAGAGGTCTAAGATTTCATAGAGAAAAAGGATTCCGTTGTTCAGGGGTACCAGTAGGTATTTACAAAGAGCATTTTACCAGGAAATGAAGCCAAATGCCCCAAGTTGAACTAAGTATGATATATTAATCCTTAGGAATGAGAACCAAACTGTACCACCTCATATACATTAGACAGCTGCTATCTAAAATATAAGTGTTGGCAAGCATGTGGGGAAATTCGAACTCTGGACACTGTTGGTGGGAGTATAAAATGGTTTCATTATTATAGTTTGTAAAAAATCTGAAACTAGAACAAGTTACAATATGATCCAGCAGTTCCACTTTTTGTATCTGCTCCCAAAAAGTCATGTTTTGAGGAACTATTTACACATTCATATACACAGCTGGATTGTTCACAACATCTGAAATTTGGAGGCACTCTGTCAGTAAACAAATGGATAGGCATTCTACTTTCATGACTCTAGGTCTCCTGCAGATATGGAACCTGTGGGGGTGTGTGACTGGCTTATTTTACTTAGAATATACTAGGGTGGAACCTGGATATGAAGTTTGTTAATAGGAAGTTTCCAGTTTGGCAAAATGAAGTGTTCTAGAGACATATGAGGGGAAAGATTGCACCGTTAGACTACACTAAACATCATCGAATATGGTTGGTTAATCTATGTTACATGTATTTGACTACATAAAAAATGGAAAGAAGAAAATGATGACTTCCTATTTCAGTAAGCATTAATAATTAAAAACAAAATCAGCTGGAGGGGTTCAGTGGGTAAAAGCTCTAACTGTTCTTGCGGAGGACCTGGGTTCAGTTCTCGGCTATCACATGGTGGCTCACAATGGACTACAACTCCGGTTCCAGAAGACCTGGAACCCTCTTTTGACCTCCACTTGCACCAGGCACACACAGCAGCACATGTACACATGCAGGCAAAACACTTACACACATAGAAATCAATCTATGAAAAAGTTAAAAAAAAATAACAGCTGCTGGAGTGGAGCATCCTGAGTGGGAACTGAGGATAGGGAAAGATCATTAGGAAAAGTAGCAAAACCTTGACAGCCTGGAACATGGGATGGGTCCATCAAACAGGAGCATTAGAGCCCACTAGATAAGAGCTAAATCAGCTAAGAACTCTTAATTTTTTAGAAACCTAGTATTAGTCCCAAGTCAGTTTACTTTTAAAATAGTTCAAAATTAAGACACTAAATTTTTAGAACTCCAACCTAGAAGGTAGACAGACAACACAAATACACTGAACTGATAAAGTAAAATGTGTATATAGCTGCAATCTGCTAGACTCTCTATAAGCACTGTTCACAGCTGTAGTGACTCACTGCCCATTAGTTACAAGAGACCTCAGAACCTAGTATCACAGGACTGCAATTTCAGGGTGGATTTTCCCCCATTTACATCAGAAGTATTTCTTCAGGTGGATACAATATAAGCTTCCTCCATTATGTTTTGGGTGTGTTCCTGTGTGAGAGTACCTTATGCTGAGGCCCAAAGCTGATTGCTGGTAGCTTCAATTGTACTCCACTTTATAATCTGAGGCTGGGTCTCTCACTCAACCTGGAGCTTACCTGGGGAGCCACCTTGCTCCAAAGGATGTCTGACTCCCACATGTTAGGATTCCAAGGTCTTCATGACTCCCTGGGGCTCTAAATTCCAGTCCTCACACCTGATCAGCATTTATTCAACCCACTGTATCTTTGATACATGTGCTGTGAGTCTGTGAGCATTCCGGTTTCTTCAAGCCAATCAGGAGCCCAAGTTTGTGCTCTGGTGTCAACACCTAACTTCTGTACAATGTAAATGACTGGGTACACCTAAGTTTCACTCATTTCCCAGGCCAGCTTGCTTCCTGTTGCAAGTTGGCTACACAAAACATACAAAAACCAGCTGACAGTTCAAACAGGATGGTGGAAAAATACCGGTTTTAATGACCTCATCCAAGGGGGGAATGACTACACACATTGTGCCTCTTCCCATTCCTTCTGTTATCAGTGCTCTCAACACTCCAGGGGTTTTGAATGCAGGTGCAGGGCGCCAGGAATCCCAGGTGCAAGCTGTGTTTCTTTTCTCCACTCACCTTTAGGGTCAACTGGCAAGCCTGCCTGACCACAGATAGAGCTCTTGGTTTCTCAGACACAACCTTAACTGGGTCTGAAGCACTTAGGCCAGGAATGGTGCACACAAAGAAGCATTATATTCTTGCAGAGAAAATCAAGATTCCATGGCAGGTGAACCACTGCCAGTCAGTAAGCAACACTGCCATCTAGTGGTCAATGGTGACAATGTACGAAGACTTCCCATCCCAAATAGCAAATATGAATACATCTGGTTTCCAAGCCAAAGAAACAGCATTTCTGATAAACTGGTCTTCGGAGAACCTCAGATTTTCTTCAGAAATTGTATTTAGAACACATAAGTGAGGGCTGGAGAAATGGCTCAGAGGTTAAGAACACTGGCTGTTCTTCCAGAGGTCCTGAGTTCAATTCCCAGCAACCACTTGGTGGCTCACAACCATCTGTAATGAGATCTGGTGCCCTCTTCTGGCTGCAGGCATACATGCAGATACAGTATATACAATAAACAAACCTTTTAAAAATGCATAAGTGGCTCCTCTTTTGCTTTTCTGTGGTCTTTTTCAATAGACCTCAACTTCAAAGACAGAAGCTGCTTTGGGGCCAGTCCCTAATGATGCCAGCTAGCTAAAACAGAAAGTCTCCACTGCAAAATAAGTATGTTAGGGTTGTTCTGCTCCTCCATTCACAATCATGGGTGCTATGTACATGTATCTCGTGTCCTGAAAAATAAAATCACAGAACACACCAATAACGATCGCTGCTCCTAATAACACTCTATGGGCCTTTCACACAGGTGTTGTCACTGAATGTGACTTCCCAATTTCTGTGTGTAAATGCGGCTAGTTAGTGAACACCTGGGTAAGACGTGACTACACACTTCACAGACGTTGTTGTGACCACTGTAAGCAGTCTGTTCTTTGGAATGTGTTCACAATGGCTACTGATCTTGCTAATGAGGTCTCCTCCATCACTGTTATTTCTGGGTTTCCTGGAGGAAGCACTCCCAGATTCTAGCGTGTGTCTGCTATGGTCTTCAGCAAACATACATATTCTTGGCAAATATCACTCAGTTAAAGACTTGGAGATAGGCCAAGTTCTGGGAAGGGGGTATAAGAGGAAGAAGTTGAATAAAGACACTTTAGGCTGTATCCTGCATCAATGTGATGGAATGCTTCAATCCTGAGGACATGAGGCAGTCTAGGAAAACAGCTGAGGGAGGGGCTGACCAGAAGCTGGAGTTTCACCACCCGACTGAGGGTGGTGCTTCCTAGAGCACAGTATCTGATTGAAGCCGGTCACTCTAGGGATGTCCAAACTGCCTGAGGTTCTCCACAGCGCATTCTCCACGTGCCCGAGCTGAAGCCCGCCTTCTCTGCTCGAAATGGTCTGCATGCTTCAAACCAGGCTCCTGCTGGGCATTCCTAAAGCTAAAGTCACACAGAATGCCCAAACGTAAACATGGTGCCAGAGTCATCTCCAAAAACGTTTATTAGCATGATTAAAAACATTTTTTGTATAGTAACAGAAGGAATTTCTAAACATGAAAGAGTTATCAGTGGTTCTACCTTATAACCAATATTTGGAATTCAATGGACAGCTTTATTGCCAGTCTTCATTTATTAAAAACAATCCATTTATCAGTTCCATGACATCATGACTATTGCTTTGTCTGGGAATGAGTCCCTACAGCAATTAAGTATAAAAAATATCTTCCATCATAACTGGAGAGTGACCTGCATTGGAGCGTGACTCTGAGTAAAGAGTTGATTAAAAATACACAAAAGAGTTGGGGTTTTGTTTTTAAAAACACTCCTTTCCACACTACAAAGAAAGAATTAGTATTTTGGCTTGTAAAATTCCTACACGATACTGAGAATGGCAGCCCCCAGAGGCCCTCCCTCACATCACTGCACACATCCCCTCTTCTGGAGGGCAGACTCCAGGGTGAACGCTGAAGGCTTAGGCCTCCACATGTCTACACTGGTCTGAGAACAAAGACAGCGTCGTCTAGAACATAGTAGTCATTGTACATGTCGCCTTCACACAGGTATGGCAGTCTAGTGAAAGCTTCGATGACAAAGCCAGCTTTCCTGAACACTTCAGGCAGGCTATTCACTTGTTCTTCCCAGTTCTGTCCCTTGATTTCCAAAATTTCTGATGGTTTCTCCCACTTGCCACCTACTAGAACAAATAAAAGAATAAAGTTAGATCCTTGAACAAATAACTCACTGAAAGAGGGAAGGGAGGGGAAAGCCAGGGTTCCAGGTACTGAATGCCCTTGGATTTGTCATTTCTGAACAGTTCCCCACACTCTTCAACAGAGGTGGACACAGCCTGGAAGGAATGATAGAACTTGCCCACAGTGATATTCCCAGGCTGTCTGCATCCAGACTGATGGAGCTTCTTTTGTGGCTCAGAAAACTAGCCAGTAAATACTCAAATATAGGGTCAGAGAGTAACTGCTAGCATTTGAAAGGAGGTTTTGCTCAACACAAGAACTCATGCAACACTTATTCAACTTCCAGCCTAGTGAGTTACCTGGATGAAAATTAAAATAGGTTTGTGAGGATTTTTTTCCCTGGTTTTTGAGACAGGGTTTCCATGTGTAGCTTTGTAGACTAGGCTGGCCTCAAACTCAGAGACCCACCTGCCTCTGCCTACTGAGTGCTGGGACTAAAGGCACATGTATGCCACCGTCGCCCAGCCTCTCGTGAGGAATTTTAATTCACAGAAACATACATGCTTTTCAAGAGAAGCTGACCCATTCCCTAAGTCAGCTGTCAATTACTTCCAAACCTATAAGCATCAGGAGCCTGGGATACGAAAAGCGGGTAAGGTCATATTCTCCTACTGTAGAATATTATTTTAACAAATGTGTTACATTTGTTTATGCTGTGGGACATTTGTTTAATGATACAAAGATGTGTTGCATTATTTTATGTTGTATTTATTTAACTTTGTGAAGCTGTGTTACTTTTCCTGTCTACAACACCTGATTTGTCTAATAAGGAGCTTGGAACAGCCAATAATAACAAGGTAGGAGAAAGGATAGGCAGGGCTGGCAGGCAGAGAGAATAAATAGGAGAAATCTGGGAAGAAAAGGATCTAAAAATCAGAAAAGGAGGAGGGCATCAGGGACCAGGCACCCAGCTACACAGCCAGACACACAGTAAGAAGGAAAGGAAAAAGATACAGAGGCAAAAGATAAACAGGATAATTTAAGAAAAGCTAGCTGGAAACAAGTCAAGCTAAGGCCGGCATTTATAAGAAAGAATAAGTCTCCATGTGCATTTATTTGGGAGCTGGGTGGCAAGCCCCCCAAAAGAGTCAAAGTAATAAAAAACCAACAACATTCTTCTACAAGTCACACCCTGACTACACACAGACAAAACCAAGAATATATTTGAATGTAGGGTCCTTTTAGAGGCTATGGTAATAAACACTAAATTCAGAGTGAGGCTTCCGTAGAGCACACAGGATACTGAGGAAAGACTATGCTCTCTTTTCAATGGCCGGCACTGCATTCTCTGTCTGGGGAGTTAATCCTTAGTGGGAGGGGAAGCTGCTTTTCTGGCAGTCCTTGCAGCAGGGGACTGGTGTAACACCTTGGCCTGCTGCCAAAACTGGAATGAGGAGCTGGTGAGCCAGAAGAACAAGAGGTGTTTGCTAAGTGCAGGCAATGAATCAAATGGCTAGGGAGGTCGGCTGATGAGTGGGTGTTAATGACAAGAGTTTGCAACACTTAGTGCCTAGAGACAGCAGCCCAGCACCACACCAGTTTCAGTGTGACTCAAGCTCCTCCTGACTTTGGGTTCACGTGGTTCTCCAGATCTTCCAAACCTCCAGGAGCCATCTCAAATCGTGTTAGAAGTCTCTTTTTTGCTGGATCAGCCTGAGTCAGTTCCTGCTACTTACAAAGAACCACCTGACTGGTAGAGGCTGAGTGTGTATGGTGGCATCGAGGGGACTGTATGTGACTCAGACCCTGAGCAGAGACCAAGGGGCATACCCATTTTGCTTGTCAACACTAAGGAGTCTTTGAATTAAAGCCAGGTGGACATGTTTACCACTAACTGAGTACTTCTTCACCATACTAGGATACACTGGCCACTAGTTTTTCTCCCAGGCCTACAGGAGACATGATTTGTGGCTGCTCAGGTCTAGCAATTTCTGGCTCTGAGAGGCCCACAGAAGACCACAGCAGCAACAAGAGTACTCTGATAATGCCAGGCACTGCCAGAGGACCACATGACTTCCTGGAACACGACGGGGTGTAAAGCAAACCTCCACACAAAACATCAAATGCCTGTGAGAAAGTCTAATACACACACACACAGTTTAGAAAAACCCCCAACTGAAATCTCAACTTTAAATGGTGAAAACTTGTTACAAACCATGCTTACACAATTTCTAAAAGTTCCTGCTTGTGCTTCCTTAATAAGAGTTCCTCTTTACTTCTTCCTTTCTGAAAAGAGAGGAGGAAAAGAAGGCCATCCTCTTGAGTACATGCAGAGTGATAGGCCCCGTGAGCACAAGCAAGATGGGCCTCCGGCTGGAAGTCAGCCTGATCCTGTTTCATGTCGGTAAGGAGGGTTTTTCCTTTTCTCTGTTTCATTTCAATGAATTGCTGCTTCCCGACTAATGTATGTATACTTTTAGTTCTTACCAAATAATTGGAAACATGCAGCACTACAGTATAGGGGTGAGGTTTCTTCATGCCCAGAGCTGAAGGAAGGTTTCCTACTAGCCTTGATGACCTCTGCTGTTGTGCTGCTTTGAGCACAGCTCACCAGACAGGGTCTGCTCAGGACCACATGTGCTAACAATTCAATTCCGACACAGGTAAGTTGCTCCAGGCTAGTGCACGCTGCACAAGATTTGCTCAATACTTCCTTCCACAGGATAATGTTTCTAAAGGCTGAAAAGAACTTAGTTTTAAAGCTACTGTAACTTGTTCTAGAGAAAAGCCACCCCATAATATAAGTAATCTTCAGATACTGCCTGTACCTGTTCTAGCTCTATAAAAGTTATTTCTTTCATCATAGTTGTAAATAATCTCAGATCTACCCACAAAACTAGACTGCAAGGAAAGAAATGGAGCAAACGTTCCTGAAATTAATTTTTTCTCATCTGTAAAGGTATGTCTATAGTGCAGTAGTGAGCCACTTCCTAGCATACGCAAGGCTCTGGGTTCACACACAAGAAAAGGAAAGCAGGACAAAGGGAGGGGAGAAAGAGGTAGGGAGGAAAAGAGAATGAATTCTACCAACATGCTAACAGTGGCTCTTCTGGCTGAAAAACCATGGTGATGTCTTTACACTGTTCCTGTCTGCAATGAGTATATACTCCTTTAATTACTATTTTAGCTGGAGTTAAAGAAAAGTCTTATCCCTCCAACTATATTATGAAATGTTTGCAGATACAATAACAGTGGGTAAGTAGATGTGACAGTAAGAAGAGATGAAACAAGACTGAAGTAAAGCCAGGCAATGATGGGTCCACCCTGCTAGGTACCTACTTTTCCAAGTTTGACGTTTTCCACAATAATAAATGTTGGGCTGGGTAGTGGTGCTGCACACCTTTAATCCCAGCACTCAGGAGGCAGAGGCAGGTGAATCTCTGAGTTTGAGGCTACAGAGTGAGTTCTAGAACAGCCAGGGCTACACAGAAAAACCCAGCCTTGAAAAGCCAAAATAATAATAACAATTCTACTACTAATAATAAATTATTAATAAATGTTGGAGCTAGAGAGATAACTCAGTAAAGTGCTTGCTGTGCAAGCAGAGGGACCTACATGTGGTTTCTAGAACCCATGTAAAAAGGTCAAGCCTGGTGGCACACGCTTCTAGTATCAGTGAGGGGGAGGCAGAGCTGGGCAGATTCCCAGGGCTCATTATCCAGCCCCGCCTACTCAACCACTGAAACCCTGTCTGGAAAAACAAAAGTAGACAGAGCTTATCCTCTGGCCTCCACACGCACCTCAACATCCATGTGTGCATGCCCACAGACATGAGTAAGCACACTTGAACAGGCAGGCATACATAAGCACAAACAAAATCAGCCTACAGTAGCCCTTAATTTTCAAAAAGTAGTAAGGTGATTTTATTTCCTCCAAGCTAAACTTTCAACATTTTTAGTGAAAACCGACTTAAATCAAAAAACTAACGAGCCTAAGAATTCCTAAAAGAAACACTTCACAGGAGAGGGCTTTGGTAGACACTATCCAGACTTCTCGTTTTGGCTAACGTTGCTCAATTGGAGGGGGAGGGAACAGCACTGTCTCGTGATTTCTCCCACTCTGAGACAGAGATAGGAAACTCCCAAGTAGCAAATGCTTCTTACTGTGTTAAAGATTGGCTTTACTTTTAAAGCAGTCACCTGAAGGCCACCGAGACTGCAACTTGACAGGAATGATGCTCTTCAAGTCTGCATGTAGAGAACTGTGCTGCAGTGGCCCCTGCTTCTAAGGTGACTGTGCCTAGGCAGGGGGAGAGGCTGTAGTGAACAGACTAGGGTTAGCCCACTGCCCTCGCACACAAGAAGCCAGGAGGAACTCCCAGCTGACTAACTCCTGGAAGCAAGTCTCACAGAGTCTCAGCTTCCCTCTAAGTACACAATGCTCAAAGTGAACTGTGAGAACACTCTCACAAATGCTGTGACTAACTTCACTGCCTCTGCTGCTCTGGGTGGAAACCTACAGGACAAGATAAATGTTAAGTTATAAAGAACCCTAGCCTCAAAATCACCAGCTCTCAACCTGTGGGTTGCAACCCTTTAAGGGTCACATATCAGATATTTACATTATGATTCTCATAGCAAAATTACGGTTATGAAGTAGCAATGAAATAATTTTATGGTTGGGGGTCACCACAACATGAGGAACTATATTAAAGGGTCCCAGCACTAGGATGGTTAGAAGCACTGCTAAATGAATATAAGCATCACTGAACTTGAATGGATTCCCTCCCCCACGACATTCTCAGGAGCAAAGCAGTCTCAATAAGACTACTTGGCCCATTATTTTTTCTGAGACCATTTGACCTATACAAACTAGGCAGAAGTTGAAGTAAAAACACATATAAATCCTCATCTGCCTCAACCAATACCATTCTTCTTGTGACTTTCCAGCATCACATTTCTGGGACTAGAAGGTAAAGATAGGAACTCAAGCTCCAAGAAGC